GCCGTGGCGTCAGCCTAGCTCACAGCAACCTCTAATTCTTGGGCTCAAGTGATCCTCCTGCCTCAGCCTCCCGAGTAGCTTGGGACTACAGGCATGCACCACCATGCCTGGCTAAATTTTTCTATATATATTTTTCGTTGTCCAGCTAATTTCTTTCTAATTTTTTAGTAGAGACGGGGTCTCGCTCTTGTTTAGGCTGATATTGAACTCCTGAGCTCAAATGATCCGCCCGCCTTGGCCTCCCAGAGTGCTAGTGTGAGCCACCACGCCCGGCTGCAACCAATATTTCAAACTCAGTATCCTGCTTCATTTTTCTGGTGCCTCAAGACTTTGGGTATTTTTTTCTTACATCAAGTGGGCCTTTGGAACTAACAAAACCCTAAGGAAAATTATTATAACATAAGAAGAATTTGTCTTTAACCTCCCAACCCCAGAACCCTCTTACTATTTTTACTTCTGCCTCCACAAGATTTGTGTTACCCTCATGCAGTCTTCTGTTGAAAGCAATCTCAACAACATTCTCAGGTTTGTCTTCCCCATAAACTGCCTCATGCTATAAAGTTATTCCTTTCCACTTCTCATGCAAAACTCTTTTCTATAATTAGGTAATCATTTGACAATATAATTCGTAGTTGTAGTATAAATGACACGTGGTTGTTCCTACCAAATAAAGGATATTGTACTTGTAAAAATGAATTGGCCAACCCAAATGAGCTCACTTGTTAAAATCCCTACATTGGGTCCCTGTCTTAGAAAATTATTAAAGATATCCCTGGACATTCTTTACTCACTGATCAGCTTCTCTTATTTTCAGAAGTTTCTTTGACCCAGAGTCAGCTAACTAGTAGGATTTCACATAAACTATAAACTATGTACAGTTTAGTCCATAAACTTATGCACTCTCAATTAGGTTGTTTCAGGTTCTAAGTTTGCTTGCTTTCTAAGAATGGAATCCTTATATCTTAGGGTTTGCCTTTAAAGTAAAAATGTGTCCAAGTGATTATTAGACTCCTTTTGCTCTAAACAGAATAAACCTTTGATGTAGCTGTTTAAATTTATGGGAAATAACTTCTTAAGTATCAGTTGTTCTAGTGGTATTTATTTATTGACAAGTAACCTATATTGGACTATCCATGCCCAACTATTTTCTCCTTTTTACCTAACTTGTTATAGTTGCAAATGAAGGCAAAAGATAATTCGTTTATAGATGTGCTCGATCATTTATTGACCCAGAATTTTTATGTGGATTGTTTTTAGTTTAAAGTAGTAATTTCAGATAGGGTAAAAATCTGTGCTGTAATCTTTATCATTTTATAGTAACATGAATCGTTTTTAAATCCTGAGTTTTCATAGAAGCACCAGAAAAGGACTGACCAAACTCAACAACTTTAAAGTACTTTTATGATTAATTCATATTTTTAATATACCTGAATTAAAACAATGGTTAATGGTCATAAACCAAATAAAAAGTAATTGGCTTCCTTTATTATTTTTTTCTAGTACAACACCTCAGGTATTGAGCCCCACTATTACATCTCCCCCAAATGCACTGCCTCGAAGAAGTTCGCGACTTTTTACTAGTGACAGCTCTACAACCAAGGTAATTTAACGATTTCCGTATGTCACATTTACTTAATGCTTCCCCCTCTAAAATTTCTGTTCATTGATGACTCCATCTCTAATAGGTAAATAAAAAGAATATTTAGAATTTTAAAAGTGATTTTTAATTTGGAGGGCCATTTATAATTTTTGTGAATTTTCTTGGTCCTTTGGTAAATATTATATAATATTCTTGAAAGAACAAAATTTTAGTAATGGATAACAAATCTTTAGGGCTGGGGGAAGGATGTAACTATTAAAGCATGGCACAAAAGCATTTCTTTATGTGTGGTGATGGAATAGTCCTGTATCCTGAGTGTGGTGGTTAAGTACACAAATCCATGTGATAAAATTTCATAGAATTATATGTACACACACATAAGAGTTCATATAAAAACTGATGAAATCCAAATAAGGTCTGTAGTTTACTTTAAAGTATTATGCCAATTCTAATTTCCTGGACATGATGATGTACTATGGTTATGTCAGATATTATTGAGGGAAGAGTGAATGGAAATTCTCTATATATTCTTTGTAACTTCTTATGAATCTTAAAATTATTTCAAAATAAAAAAGTCGTTGGAGGGCCTCATTTATTATGCCTTTGGTAAATTTTCTTGGCCCATTGACAAATATTGTGGATGATCTTTGATATATCCAGATTAATAGTTTTATGACATTGATTATAATACTCTGAGACAATATTATATCCACTTTTCTTATTTTTAAAT